AGGACCTTTAGATCAATCCCTGTAAACCTCGAAGGAAGCTTCTTCCGCAGCGGAATGCGCCAGCGTGGCGCGCCGCACCGCAGCATCTGTGCAGAGATTTGGGGTGGGATGGTGGGTGGGTTTAGGGCTTAGTGTTGGGGGTCTAGGGAGTGGCATGCGGGTGGGAAATGGAATAATTCTGCAGGTTATCCCCATAATTATGTGTAACCCTAATAGTGGGATAGCACCCAATAAAGCAAAAAGTGCTTTAATCATTCAGGCTGCCCGGGGCTTCATTTTTGGAGTGTATATGCATGAGCATTCATGAGCATTCACGGACCCCGGACGTATATAGAGATACTTGGGGTTTAAGGTTTAGTGTTTATGGGACTTGGTAAGTAGGCTACGAATGTGGGATAGCCGTGAGGCAAAACTTCAAATTTCAGTGTTCATCTTTTAAGGAGGCAAGGGAACTGTGAGGACCCTGGAGATAGCTCAAAAGTACATCCCCTTCGTAACCCATACTACATCCATTGTAGCCCTGTGTTCCCTATGTCCCACAAAGTAGCGGGTCTTGTGGGGAGCAAGAGATCACTCCCAAAGCTCTGAAATTAAACGGAATCCCAAACTTAGGGTTTAGGGTTTAGGGTTTGGGGGGGATTATACTACCTACTAAACACCAGGAAACCCTAAACCCTAAACCCCCAGGATGGGTGGGGTGCTAGGGATGTTGGCAATCGTCTGTTCCCAGGAGCGGGCAGCCTGCCTGGCAATCGCAGAGGAGGCGCATTCCGGAAAATCTGCTCGTGGTTTAGGGCTTAGGATTGAGGCTTTAGGGCTTAGGGCCTAGGGTCAGGGGAGAATTAGTAAGGCATGGAAAAAAGAAGATTGATACTACTGCATTACTCAGGGTTTTCGCTTAGGCGTTAGGGTCAGGGATGTAGTAAGTAGCTCAGTAAGGGGAATAGCTGCGGTTATTATGCAGTTCATGGGCGTTGCAGGTATGTTTACTAAGCCCCCTGATCCTCAAGCGGACTGTAGGGTCTACAGGTTGAGGTGTAGGGGGTTAGGGTTTAGGGCAGTTTAGGGTTAGGGTTTAGGGTTGTTAGGGGTTTAGGGTTTATGGTTGAATGCCTTGATCTCTTGTGAAGCCCCATACAGAGAGCCACCAGGTCTGGATGGGAATCCCTTTTCATTTCCACCCGGCCCTTGGTTCCCCTCACACCTAAACGTTTAGGGTTTGAATTGGTATACAGGTTAGGGTTTAGGGTTCAGAACCCTGAACCCTAAACCCTGAATCCTGAACCCTCAACCTTGCGTTTTGTATGTAGTGCCCCATTCAGCTTTCAGTTAAGAAGTCTTTACGGCTCCTGGATTAGGGGTCCTCCTACACTGTAATAGTGGTAAAATAGGAATATAAGCGGACCCGAATATAACCTTCATTTTCCTTAGGAAGTCACTATTACTGGGTGGAGGAGTCCACCTAAAGTATATTCCCCTTAACCCTAAACCCCTAAAAACCCTGAACCCTAAAACCCTAAACCCGACACCCTCAAACCCTAAACCCTAAACCCCTAAAACCCTAAAACCCCTAAAGCCCTAAAACCCCAAACTCATGGAACGGACTCCAGCAGGTTACCTGCCTCTCAGAAAGCTTGCAGCTGTGCGCCCTAAGCGAGGCGAAAGAGGACGGGTGATCAGGGTTTAGTCCCCTTAAGTAGATAGAATATGGGGTTTAGGGTTTAGGGTTTTGAATTTAGGATGTAGGTTTAGGGTAAGTAGATGGAATATGGGGTATATGGGGATCTTATTATCATATACCCAAACCCATATTCTACTTGCTGAAGGGGGACTATAGGTTTTAGGGAGGTTTAGGTGTTAGGGTTTAGGGTTGAGGGTTTAGGGTTGAGGGTTTAGGGTTTAGGGTTCAGGGGTCCTTGCGCAGTTCCTTTACAGTCCTTGCAGCTGATGATCTTGCTGGCTGCTTGTACAAGTAGGGTTCAGGCGGGCTCCGTTCCATGGCGACCTCTCCTCTCGTGGTAGCTCCGAGTACACTTGGTAGTTTTCCTAAATGGGGGACCGCAATATAGACCCCCAAACATTATGATCCTCATCATTGGGACACCCAGAAAGGTACACTTAAGTTTGACCCAAGTGGGGGGTCCTGCAAGTACACTTGGTTTCATCGCCAGTGTCAAGGGCTTGAAAGTCCGAGGTTTGGATTCAGAGTTCTTCCCCAGGGATATTTGTGGATCTTTTGCCGGAGTCCCTGGGATACCGTCTGGGTGGATACTGCCCCTAAACCCTGAACCCTACTCTTTCAACGGTTTGTAAAACATGTTCAAGCTTTCGCCTTCCAACAACCAGTCCTTAGCCGAATAGGTTCAGGGCTCAAGGCCAGAAATACGGCCCTAAGTCTGCAAATCCGAAGCTTTACACTTTACCCTTAAGAGTCTAAAACCTAAATCCTAAGCCCAAAACTAAAGCCTAAATGGAAGGCTTCATTCTCTGCCCAAAATCGCTCGAACTGCGACTTGATTGCTGTGATTGCCATCGTCACTATGTTCGCCGCCATTGCTAATCTTACTGGCCGTGAGTAGGAATTAAGGAAACATTATCCCTCTATAATCCCTATAATATACTACTCCTAAACCCTGAACCCTACTTATTCCCTTATTCCCTACTAATCCCCAGTAAGTGGTTGCTGACCTCTTTTATGCTTACAGAAGAGCCATGCCCTGGCGAGTTGTACCAATCATATGTTTAGGGTTCAGGGTTTAGGGTTTCGGGGCTTAGGGCTTAGGGCTTCAGGAGTCCCAGTAAAATACGACCCCTAATAAGTAGATCACCCCTACTACAAGGGCCATATTATTGGAAACTCCCACTCTCCACTCTCCAAGGGAGAGTGGGGAAGTGGATCCCTACCCCATATTTACCCTCATAAGGAGAGCTATATTCACTCCCCCCACTCCCCCTTAAGCACCCCTAAACCCTAAACCCTAAACACCACTAGGTCATATTCTGACCAGTAGACCGCGCTTTCAGCCAGGACACCATCTTGGAGGATGTGTCGGATCGTTGCCTTGTGGCAGCCGAGCGGACCAAGGCTCAGCCTTAGAGGAACCCTGGGGGGTTAGGGTTTAAGGGTTTATAGGGTGTATGGGGTTTAGGGGTTTAGGGGTTTAAAGGGTTTATAGGGTTTAGGGGTTTGGGGTTTAAGGGTTTGTACGGTTCAGGGGTTTAGGGTTTAGGGGTTAAGGTTTAGGGTTTAAGGGTGGGAGCAGGTGGCAAACGGCTAAAACCGTTGAATGATCGGGTTGAAATCTTTCCTAGCCCTCCAATCTTCACAAGATCTGGTTCGAGCACGAGTGTTGGGTCTGCGATGGAGGCTTTTCGACTCGCCCGAAGGGCTACCATAGAAGCCTCAATCCTTTCCTACCCTAAACCCTCAATATGCCCTAATCCCCAGCTTCCTCAGATGATTGCGGTGTACGGTCTAGGGCCGGTCTGGGGTATTTCAAAAACCCCAGCATGGCTGTTGGTGAGGTTTAGGGTTCAGGGTTTAGGCAGGCCCAGTCATTACCATCCCTATTAACCCCATGTTTTTCTATTTGATTCTCCGTTCTTCTGGATGGACCTTTGTACTTCTCGCCTTAGAGCAGTAGAAACTTTTGGAGCTTCGGGCAGCTGGTCAAAAGGCTTGTTTTTTCGAAGTCTGTTTGAACAAATTGGCCTGTCCTGTTTTCCAGATGTTTTTTTGGTGTTGTGTTACATCCCAATAAGGAATGCGCATATGCTTTTTCATGGTACCGCAATGTGAAACCTGAAGTGGTCTATAGCCCAGCGAGTACGTTGCTCGCTGCTTCATCCTTAAAAACCCCATAATGCGTTTGGAGTGTAGGCAGATGGTTTGTTATCTTAGTTCTCTCTAATGCTAAGGGACCAACAGAATTGTGCAGCAATTGCACGCCGCGCGTTTTACCAACACGCCGCTTGCGGGGCAAGCAGTCCAAGGAGCCCAGCAATGCAGGCAGAAGTAAGACTGAAAACTCAAGCCTACGCTAGCTGCCATGTGGCGCTCCAAGCAGCTTCCCTGCAGGACACTGTGCTGAAGCTCAACCGTGATGTATCTCAACAGATGCTTTCCACTGTGCTCGCGCTGCGTGGCAGTGAGTTGCGAGCCATCGTGGGGAAGCTCGATTATGATCGCGCTGGCAGCTGGACCATCAACTCGGAGACACTGCTAGAATGCAAGCTCATGATGGGCATCAGGGGGCCTAAGTTCGTTGATGCTGAGTGGGTCCGTACGAAGCATCAAGGGAACAACTTTCTAAGACATAATAAGCTGAGGGTCACTTGAGGCGTTTGATGTGGAACACTACATATCTGCTGTGATCCCTGAGTAAGGGATTACAATAGTACCCCCCCACTATATAGTCCTGATTAGCTCCTTAAACCCTGGGGGGGTACCTTTGGGGGGTATTATTGTAATCCCTTAACTGAGAGTTCCAGGTGAAGGGCAAACTCAGTTGTATCCAGCGTTCTGGTTCAGAGTTATATTCCAGCGCACAGGGCCTTAAGTGTTGTGAAGGGATTTGATGCCCTAAACTCTAGACCCCTAATCTCCAAATCCCAAAGCCTGATCACCCACGCAACCCAAAACACTCTAAGCCCCCCTAAAGCACCAGATCCCCGAACTTCATAACCACAAAATCCCAAGCCTCCTGGAAAAAAAAGTCGAGCCGCATCACCGCACTTTTCTGAACCCAGACATAGGGTTTAGGGAGTAGGGTTAAGGGATTAGGATTTAGGATTAGGGCTTGGAGATTAGGCATTAGGGTTGAGGGATTAGGGCTTTGGGAAGATCTCCAATGAAGAGTCTTGGTACCAGTAGACCGCCGAAGGAGCCTGTAAGGAATGGAACCACGAGCCCCGAAAACCTAAACCACGAACTCCTTATTCGCAGTCTAAGCCCTTTACCTTAAGCTCAAACCATCTGTAGCCTTGAGCACGGCAGTCAGGCGACCGCCTGGGGTGGCGTTGCACGACCGCATGGGAGTATTGCTTTTGCAGTTCGCAAAAATAGCCTGGAGAATTCTGAGGTTTATGTTCCTCAGGTGTTGGCTGCTTTCTTGTGGTTATTTGGCTTGCCTGAAAAGTGTGGGAAACTATAGTATTTGTGGTCAGTGTTTGAGGTCTTCGTGTTGATTGGCCAGGGCTTGCAGCTAGGGATTCCGTTGCCAATAGTATGCATTGGGCATTATGCAGAATTGCAATGATTCGGTAGGGATGGCTCCCTAGGCTTGCTGTTTGCATTTTAGGGTTTAGGGTTCACAGGGGCAGCGCTTTAGCTGTTTTAGATGTCTCCAACTAAGATTCACAAGCTCCCGACATTTTGGAGTACAAAATCGAAGTTGAGCCGTCGAGTATGTTGTGCTTGATAAGGTGGATACTGAACATCCTGAGTGTCCTCAGTACCTACCACCTCTGCAAGGATGGCTATTGTGTGCCACAGTCCTGCGAGGCTTTCGGTATCAGCACTGGGATGCTAAGAACCATCCTTTTTCAGGCGAGTCATCCCTAAACCCTAGACCTAAACCCGAAGGCCCTAAATTTCAGACCCGAAGCGATAAACCCTGAACCTTAGATCCTAAGCCCAAAACCTAAACCCCTAAAAATCACTTTCCTCTTTCTTTTCCATTTTTCCTATTTATCACCCGCATCATATAACTTCTATAGAATCACCCTATACTCCCTATTTTACCCCCTATAATCCCTGCCTAACCCTTAATCCCAAGCCCCCCTAAGCTGGAAATCCGGAATCCCCAACGGCTACAGGAACTACGGCGGCTTAGTCTCGAACTTGCTGATGGGCAACCCAGCCGAAGACCCAGCCACAAGCCTTGTGCGGTCTAGGGCTTGGGCCCCTGTAGAGTTCTATAGCTATATCAGCCATAGTCCAAACTGCCCAAAGGGGGATATATAGGGGGTTATATGGGGGACTACTATAGGGGATATTAAGGGGGATACTAGGAGTTTAGACTATAGCTCATATAGGAGTATAAAGTGCAACATAGGGACAAAATAGGGTTTAAAAAGGGTTCTGTAGGGTAATAGGGTTTGGGGGTCTTTTTGTTCTTTCCAAAGCTGCGTTAATCCCTGTCGGGACCCTTTAAGAGGGACCTCTCCCTTGTGGCACTTGTCATGTCATTTTTATTTTTGCAGGCCTTAGGTCTTTGTTTTAGGGCTTATTGTATAGGGTCTAGGGTTTATCGTTCAGGGTTCATGGTTTGGGGGATTTGGGGTTCATCATTTTTTGGCTTACAGTGTGTTCACAGCCTGGGGTGCTCGCTGCTGTGTTGCCCAGGCCGCTTGCACCCGTGCGTAGCAATCAAAACGCTCCATGGCCATCCTAATTTCAAGCTCTGCCACGTTCAACTCCTGAAGTGTTTGAAGCATTCCGGCAGGGGCCAAGTCTGAACCGATTGGGACTGCACTTTGCAGTAAGTGATGGCCGGTTATCAAATGCTGACATCGCACGCGTTGCTTTTTCTGTGCAGCTTTTGTGGCGGAACAGTCGAAGGTCATAGTATGATGTTGACGTTGTAGGCTGCTTAAGAATCGTCCGCAGTCCCGACGCGATGTTGGATTCACGCCGTTGACTTGTGTTCGCGCCATTGACTTCTGTCTTGGCCTTCTGTTCGGCTGTTGTGAGTTGGGTCTTCCTATTTGTATGGTACTGGGAGGTCATTGCCTCAGACTACGCGAGGGCAAGATATGATGTTTAGCTCTTCTGGTAGGGGCGTATTGATATTCCAGCTCATTTGTTTCTACCTCAAAGCCTCTAGGGGTACAATCCTGGAACGCTTGAGCGTCAAAACTTAAATTCGAAACCTTAACCAAACCGTCACTCCTGGTTTAGTTTCTTGGGCTTTTCAAGCTGAGCCTAGACCCGAAACCGATACAAGTGTAATGACAAGCAGGATCGCCGGCGGCCTTTGCGAGCGCATGCGCAGCGCTAGCAGCGGTAGCTGAGGGTCTCCGACAGGCAGACCTGTTGTTACTGCTTCTCTGTACTTAGGGTTCAAAGGTCCTGGCATCAGGGTACAGGGTCTACGGGTTAGGGTCCTGCAATGAATGTGTTTGGCTTTTTGAAGCAGGTGTGTTTTTCACGGGAATTATCTCGGAGGACATGGGCTTGAAGCGAACATGATTGAGGTGCCTATAATGGTTAAGTCCGAGAAACATCCAAGAAACGCATATTTGATCTTTGGAATGTTGAAACGGTTAGACTTGCTCCTACACCTTAAAGTCAAAAATTCTCAGCCGCAGACCAGAAAACCGCGGTCCATTTCAGGGACCCTTGGTGTTTAGGGTTTGGGGTACAGGCTCAGGGTTTTGGATTTGGATGTCCATATTTTGTGCGATCCTCTTCCTTCCTAGAGGATTAGAAGCATTCCTACTTAGGAATGTCTCATAACCGAAGATGCTCATTGCAAACTTACAGACGTGACTTGGATTTCGGAATTTCTCGGCCATGTGGATCCTGAATAAAACCCAATGAGGAACTCAAAGATGAGGCTTCCATGTTATCCCTGAGGAGGACCCCGCACCCTGTAATAGGGTGGTATAGTAGGATTATAAGAGGACCCCAATATAGTCACTATTGTGCTTTATAGTCACTATTACAGGGTGGGGGGTCCACCTAAGTTTTCCCCAAAGTCATGGGTTACCACCGCCCCACATACTACCCCCCAAGTCCCGCCTTCTTAGCCTTGAGGAACCCTGATTATCCAACCCTAAACCATGGGAAGCCCCAGGAGTTCATATGTGGACGTGGTATGAGAACCTGTGAAACCCTAGACCCTAAACTCCAGACCCTAAACCCTAAACCCCATGCCTTAAACCCTAAACCATAAACCCTAAACCCTAGACCCTGTGAAGGAGCCAAGTGTCCATCCCTCTATCCCTATCCCCTATTATGATATGTTTGTTTCCATTTTCTCCTTTTATAACCCTAATATTACCCCAATGGGTACCCTAAACCCTAAACCCCTAAGTATACCTCCATAACGGATCCAGTTTTTGCGGCAAACTTCGCTTGGAGGAGCCCGGGCTGGGTGTGGCCCTTCCTTCAACGGAGCCCCCGCCGCCCCCACATGGCGGGGTATGCTTGAAACGAGGGTTGGACATAGGGTTCCGTGTTACGGGTTTAGGGTTTAGGGTGTAGAGTTTACGGT